AACAACAAATAAAACTAATTAAAATTACACACATAAACAAACATAATTCTATGTTATCACCATGCAGCCAGTCCCTGCTTGGTGTGGGTAAATTCTATCCCCAAAAAGGACAGTTCCCCCAAGTCTGTCATTTCAAACTCTTGCTTCAGTTTCTTTTTGAATTCCTCTACCTTTCTTAGCTCACTTCATGTGATGAGAAAATCATCAACGTACAGACAAATTAAAATAGTTCCCTCGATAGCATCATCCAGAACATAAACTCCATGTTCTACAGTACATTTTCTGAATCCAACTCCCTTCCGAAAAACAATCAATTCTCTTATTCCATACTCTAGGTGCTTGTTTTAGGCCATATAAAGCCTTTTTCAATCTCAAGACCTTGTCCTCTGAGCCTTTAACTTCAAATCCTGAAGGTTGAAGAATGTAGATTTGACATCAAGATACCAAAGATGCCAATTTCTGTAACTAGCAATTGCTATAATCACCCTTATTGTTTCAAACCTGGCTACTGGTGCAAACACCTCAGAGTAATCAATTCCAGGTTTTTTGTATAAACCTTTTGGCCTCCAAACGAGCCTTATAATTTGCAACTGATTCATCTGTATGAGTTCTTACTTTAAAAACCCACTTAACAGGAATTGCTTCTTTGTCTTTAGGTAACTAAGTGAGCTCCCATAATTAATTTTTCTCAATGGATTGTAGTTCCTCCTTCATAGCATCAATCATGACCTTTTGTTTTATTGCTTCTTCAAATTCAACTGAGTCCAAACTGGTTAGCAATGCCAAATAGATAGGGTCACCTTCAGCATTGATCTCATTATCTCTCAGCATTTCATAATCTTGCAGCCTGTGTGGAAGAGTTCTTGTTCTTGTTGATCTATGAGTTATGACTTTGTCATATGTGTTGTCACCAGAATTATTGGACTCATCTTGATAAGTATCATTCCCTTCACAGTCAACTTCAAATCTTACTTGTGGTATGTTGGAGACATCAGAATCACATTTCCAGTATCCTCACTCATCAAATACCACATCTCTGTTGTATTCAATCTTCTTTGATCTTGGATTATACAACCTGTAAGAGCCAGTAGAGTTGTATCCTACAAACACCATAGATTCACTCTTGTTATCTAGCTTCTTTCTTGTTTGATCTGGGGTATGCTTATAGCATAAACACCCAAAAATTCTCAAATGATTAATTGATGGCTTCTACCCAGACCAAACCTTCTCAAGAACTTGATGACTCAATCTTTTGGTAGGTGATCTATTCAGAATATAGACTGCAGTAGATACAGCCTCACCCCAAAGATAATGTGGAAAATTCTTTCCTTTAATCATACTCCTCACCATATTAAGTATAGTTTTATTTCTTCTTTCACCAATTCCATTATGCTGAGGAGTATAAGGAGCTGTAATTTCATGAATTATTCCATTATTACTAAAAAACTGTTCAAGTTCTTTAGAACAAAACTCTCCACCTCCATCAGTTCTGAATATTTTAAGATTATAACCAGATTGCTTTTCAACAAAAGTCTTAAAAGTATTGATTGTATCAGATACTTCACTCTTTACTTTGAGTAAATATACCCACATTTTTCTGCTAAACTCATCAACAAACGAGATAAAGTATCTATTTCCTCCTAGAGATTCAGTCTCAAAAGGTCCACAAACATCTGAAAAGACTACATGTAATAATATAGTAGCTCTAGAAGGAACAAATGCAGAAAAAGATCCTCTAGCCTGCTTACTAATCACACACTCATCACACAGTGTATTAGACAGCTTTATAGGAGGCAAGCCGTGAACCATACCTTGATTGTATAGTTTGTTCAAGTCCCTGAAATTCAAATGTCCATATCGGTAGTGCCATAGCCAGGAATGATCACGAGTTTCAGTTGCAAGACATTGAGTTTCCAAAGCAACAATTTGAACCTGAAATGTTCTATTGCTTGACACTGATACTTTAAAAACCTTTTTCTTCTGAGGATCATAAGCATCTAGGGTTCCCTTCTCCATATGAATTGTGAAGCCTTTCTTAAGCAATTGCCTAATGCTAAGAAGATTGCTCTTCATCCCAGGTACATATAAGACTTCACAGATGAATGCTTCACTACCATCCTTTTTCCTAAACAACACATCTCATGTGCCTTCAGCACAAATCAGTCTGTCATCCGCAAACCTTACTTTACTCTTCTTAGATGCATCAAATAATAAGCCACCTTTTCTAGCCAGTCATATGATTTGAACAGCCAGAGTCCAAGTACCAAACATCTGAATTACTTTCTTCCATAAAAGTGGTCATCATCAGTGTAACTGGTTCTTCATCTGTCTCCTTGTCATCTTCAGCAAGGTTTGCCTCATTTGTTTGTCTATCTACATCATAATACTCCTCTTGACTAGGTCCTCTGCATTCATTAGAGAAGTGACCCACTTTATTACAGTTAAAGCACCTAATCTTCCTTCTATCAATTCTCTTCCTGCCTCTATTGGATTGGTTTAAACCACCTCTTTTAGATTATGTTTCAGGCTGTTCTTGATCTTGAGTAAACGTATTTCTGCTAGCATAGCCTCCTCTATTAGATCTGCCTCGCCCTCTTCCTCGAAATCCACCTCTGTTGTATTCACTCCTGTCAGTAAATTGAACTTGGAGAGCTTGATCAATAGGTTTTTCTACCTTTCTTTCCAACAATCGTTGTTCATAGGCTTCAAGAGAGCCTTGCAGTTGTTGCAATTTCAGAGTAGTAAGATCCTTCGCCTCTTCTATTGCCACAGAGATATAATCGAAATTAGGAGTGAGAGTTCTTAGTACCTTTTCCACAATTTTCTGCTGAATCATTGTTTCCCCACATTTCTTCATAGCATTAGTCAGGGCGACAACTCGATTGATAAAGCCTGCCACATTTTCATTCTCCTCCATCCGCATTAGTTCGTATTGTCTACTCAAGTTCTGGAGTCTTACTCTCTTCAACTGTTCTTCACCTTCGTTACACTGTTCCGGAATTTTCCAGGCCTCATGAGTAGAGATGCGTTAGCGATCTTCTCAAAATGAGCATCATCAAGACATTGGTGAAGTAGACACATCGCCTTGCAATCTTTCTTCTTGTTTTCTTTATATGCAATCTGTTGAGCGTCTGTTGATTCTTCGGTGATCATAGGGTATCCATCGTCATCAATCTCACTAACTTCTTGATAACCAAAGATGACCTTCATCTGAGTAGACCATCTATGCCAGTTCTTACCGTCCAGAATCAGCAGATTTGAAACCAAATTATTCATCGCCATGAATTCTCTTCGTCTTCAAAATCATTCTCTTCGTTCCTTGAGCCTCGCTCTGATACCAATTTGTTAGAGCAATAACAAACTTAACAGAAAGTCTAGAAGAGAGATAGAAAGCTCGATTAACAAATCTGGAAAAGAATCTCTTATTCATATGCAGCACATTACATGTATTTATAGTTTTTATGACCAAGGGTATTTTGGTATTATTCAACATTATCTTGGGTTGCCACATCATCAACGTGTTCCAGAGCAATGGTGACTGATTCATCTCTATATGATGACTCGGTCTCCCCCGAAGAGCGCAAATCGATATAGGACTCCAGAGTACGAAGAGGATCCATGGCAAACCTCAAAGAGTGATGAAGGTCTATACCGGGCTCCGAAAACCAGACATTGGGAAAAGAAGAAAAGGGTTCAGGGAGGAAGAATACCTAACTCGAGGGGCAACAGAAAAGTTGAAGGCAGATATATCTAGGTAGTGAGAAGCTTGAACGCCTAAAGAGAATGTGAGCAGAAATTCAAAAACCCTTATCCAACTTGTTAAGTGGATATTTATAGAGATCTCCACCACCTTACCAATCAATCGCAAGGCGACACATGGCGAAATAGGTTTTCATCTACACTTCCTTATATCTCGCGCACGTTCGGAACATCAGACGTGGGGGACTTGTGTTTGGTAATTAGCCCAATACGAGCGGCCCAACATTCATAAATAAGTAGAATTAGCAAATCTGGCTACTTCAGCTAGAATAAATCAATTTATAACTAAAATGATCTTCTAAAGTAACTTCAGCCGATTTAGCTAGAAAAGTAACTTCAATCATACGTGTTTTGATTATTACATAATCTAACCTACGGAATTAGCAGTTACTTCATATGTTTGGTAAAAATTATTCCATATTTCCTGCTAAGATTGTCCTATTTTTCATTTCGAGAAATCTCACTAAGGGGGTGTTTGGAACTGATTCTGCTTCTTCTTCTTTTTTAAAAGCAGAAGCAGAATCAGAATCAGTTTTCAGAAGCTGGTACCCCCCAGCTTCTAAAAAAACTGATTCTGAGAGTAAATTAGAGCTCTAGAAGTGCTTCTGGAATTTCACCCAAACACTCCAGCTTCTGCTTCTGCTCCCTGAAGGAGCAGAATCAGTTTTGAGAATCAGATCCAAACACCCCCTAAGTTGTCTCATACCAAATTTAAGGGGTGTTTGAAACTGATTCTGCTTCTGCTTCTTTTTTAAAGCAGAATCAGAATCAGTTTTTAGAAGCTGCTCTCCTTCAGCTTCTATAAACACCCGCTTATTGGAGTAAATTAGAGCATCGGAATTACTTCTTCACTTTCACACTCTAACTTCTGATTTTGCTTCCTGAAGGAGCAGAAGCAAATTTCAAAAATCAGATCCAAACATCTCCTTCGTAAAATTTGTATGACTTTAAATCATTTTTACTTTATTCTTACTTTATCAATTTAATATCAATGAAATAAACTCATCTTTCCTCATAATTGTACCACTCTTCTATTGTGAAGGGTAAGGATTGATAAATCTTAAAATCAAAGTTAATTTTACTGTTGTGTACTAAGGATGTTTTTACTTGGACTGTAATTTTTCCCAGACCAGACTAGATCAGACTAGACCAGTCTAGACCAAACTTGAATAGTTATAAAAATACAAAGAAACCAGACCAGATCAGACCAGATATACTAGATCCTAAACGTCAGAACTTACACCCTGTTAAAACCCAAAGTGAGATTGAGGATAAATCTCCTTTCACTTTCAGTCTTTCAGCATTAGTCATAGAATCAAGGGTAAGCTGAAAGTTTTCTTTTTGCTGAATATAGGTAAAAAAAAATCCGAAAGGCAAAGGAAATTTGACGAGTATTAGTTATCCTACTTTGAGGCGCTAAGCTAATTCGGGTTTGTTTAGGGTCCGCATCTTCGATCATCTTCCATCTTCATACAATCGCTATGAATTGCATCGATTTCCGACTGAAAGATTTGGTAAGCCCACGCCATCGCCTCCTCGTCCTTTTGACTCATACATCATACGAATCTCAGCGAAATTAATATTGTTTCAAGCATATGCGAAGTATCATTGCTCGGCTTTCATTTGCAGGACGTGGAACACTTTGAGATACGAGAGGTTCTGCAATGTGAGTAGCTTGTTTAATTTAGCTAGTTTTATAGTTTGTCTTGTTTTCGTTTATCAGGAATTTAACTAAAGGCCATTATTACTCAATTCCATGAATGTATAAAGAGTGTATTTGGAAACATAAGCTCCTCGTAAACACTGGTGCATATTTTTTTTACACTGGTGCATATATAAATGTGCTGTTTGAGCAATTATTAGGTTATCCCAAATTAATGCAGTAAATATTTGTTTGGGTAAAACTAGAGCTATTGAACATACTACAATTAGTTAAAAAATAACTTAACTTGATAAAACTTCAAAGTTTGAGTTTCTACAAAACTGGATTATTTAATATTTTCGAAGATTCCCATAAATTTAAACTTAGGAGAACCCAGGTTCACCTCTCTATACAAGCAGACCATTACATTGAGTCATACCAATTAGTTGTTTTACCAAGTTTTGTATTTGTTGGTATTAGTTTTCATTTAGTTTGGACACATTCCAGAGTTATAAGATACGGAAGCTGAAGATTTGTTTTTTTCTCTTTTTTCCTCTGATGGAGAAAAGGGAATTCGGTATATTTTTACCAAGAGAAAATGTAGTGATCTCATCACTAAAAAATGTACTCGTACAATGGCACCATGTTGTAGTTTTGGTGTTCCATGCTGGAAAAGTACTAAATTGGAAATTGACTTTTCTTAACTCGGAGATTGAAGCTTCAATGTTGAAAACGTATGCAGGTATTTTGCACACAATTTTTTTCCACAGAGCATTAGGTCTTGTTCGACCAAAGGACATTGATTTGGAACTCTTTGACATTACATATGTAAGTATTGGGTGATTACTCATTCCTTGTCCGTAAGGATCTGTCATATGTGTTTGTTTTATCTTTAACGTGAATGGAAATTCAATTTTGCTGCTTGAAAATAGTAATGTTTGTTAAAGACTTGTACTCTTTGAGTGATTGTTTCGGTTTGGAGTTTTCCTAAGTGGCTGACATTTGATATAGCTTTGTTTATTTTAAACTCTCACAGGTCCAATGTGGTGATGCTGAGGTTGAGAAAAAAATAGATGAAAAGATTAATCACTTCATTGAAAGGGTGGAAAAGTACCCCAACAAGAAAAATGAGGTATATGTTTAAAAGTGATGTGAATATAGTTGTGTCCACTCGGCACACATACTCTACTATTTATGTCATTATGTTGCACATTTCATACCATGGTGTGGTCAGTCATGTGTCTCATCTCTTATTATTTTTAAACAACTGATGTGTTTTTAATACTGCAGATTTGTTTATCATTCTATGAAGTGAAGAACAAGCAAGCGACTTGGTTTACAAACAAAGTTGAACGCCTATACTGGGAACAGTGGTACATCAACCTGAATGTAGCTCAGCACCACCCAAAAGCACATTCTAACAAATCTCATCCGTCCAAAGCGGTAGTTGATCCTGGAGGTATTGTGAATTAAGAGAGATTTACAACATGGAAAAATTTCTTTATGAAAGTGCTTAATAAAGGGATTGGGGTTTTATATTTGTTTTCTTTATATCTGAAACTTTTGCAGAAAGCGCATGTGAGGAGAGGAATGCTCGGAGGGCGGCACTGGAGTTGTCTCTCCGCGAAGTTATGTTTCAGATTATCAAATTTGTAAATGAAAAAAAGGACCATGTACCCTCGGTACCAAATCTTGAGGGTGTCTCATTTCCCTATGAGATCACTATCTCAAGGTAATTTTTTTTTTATTTATGCTTTGTTTGTCTATTCAAAGGAAAGCCTTGGTGCACCGGCTAAAGTGTTGTGTGAGTGAGAGGTCATGGGTTCAACTTTTGGGAGCGGCCATTTGTCAAAATTTGATAAGGGGAAAGGTTTGCCCCTTGTACACCCTTGCAGTGGGACCCTACCCCGGACCCTTACCTTGCAGGGATGCCTTCATGCACCGGGCTGCCTTTTTTATGGTTTGTTTGTCTGTTCATGTGAAAGTTTGTGTATAATTATTTACTTCTTTTTCCTCCTTTGTGTCTGGAAGTTGTTATTGTTAACCATTATGTAAATTCTTTGCTCTTTCATTGTAAATTTATATATGTTAGCTCTCTGATAAACCAATCTAATCAGTTCATTCCATGTTTCTTTAACTTTGTTCATTTGCTGAAGTGTATTTCTGGACTGTCTATGATAACGTGTAGGTTCCAGGTTGCCAAGGGTCCTTTATGACATAAATTTTGGCGGGGAACGTTATAGAGGGCTTAGTCTATCTTAATGGATAGAATGTTTTTAAATAGAACCATGATCACTTATTATGTTAGTCTTTCATTTAAAAATTAAGATAAAATCTTTTATCAAGAAATACACTTGACCCATAAAAACTGCTCATCAGACTAACCATAATCGACTCATATGAACAATATACTTGTCTTTAGCCATCACAACTGACCTAACATAACGTTATTGTTAGAGATTAATTGGAAGGAGGTTGAGTCATTCCAATCATTTGAAATAATGTAAATTTTCACTCTTTTCTTGCTAAATGTAACAAATTTTATCTGAAACGCATGTGTTCCCTTATTTAGTGCATCAGATTCCGCATTTGGGATGGAAATCTTCAAGAGGATGCTTCAGACTGGGCATCCCAGCATTCTTAGTTGAGAGAAGAGGAAATGCCCCTTTGCACTTCTTCATGGAAGGCTTCATGCTTACAGTACATGTAGAAGGTTTTACTGGGGTAGGTAATTAAAAAGTGTGATAGTAAGAGAAGCAAATATTTGTACATACAGAAGCATGATGTATCTAGCTACCAATGGATGTCTTCTCCATGCTCTGTTTCTATCTGATTCCACTGGATACCAAGGAAGCATACTCATAATGCCAAGAAACCTTTTTTACCCTTTTTGGAGACGGTAAAAGTTCTCAAACTACGCTTTGCTGGACTTGTCACTTGTGAGTTCTCAGTATCAAAGAGCTGGTGAAATGAGCTGATATAAGATAAGAAATGAGCTGGTGTTAATTTATAAGATAAGAAACATCATGATAAAAACTATAACTAGTTTACAACCAAATAAGTGGATGTGTGTGTGGTTTTTCTTGTTCTGCTTATTTTGCTGATATGCTAGTATGCATTATATATAAGGCTGTATAGAAGCGCTAATAAATGTCAAGTAACTAAGTTTGGTAAATGCTTTTTTTTTGTCTCGACGGTTTGGAGTAAATCAACTAGTGAAATTAGGCATGGACCCGGGCCGGGTCGGGCCCGGGCCGGGTCAAGGCCCGGTCGGGCCTCGGGTCCTATAAGGGTAGGCCCGGGACCGGCCCGGTCAATGACCGGTTCCGGTTCGGGCCGGGTCACCCGCCCGGGTCACGGGTCGGGCCACCCGCCGGGCCGGGCCGGGCCGGGTCAATAAATTTTTTTTTTTATATTAATTATATATTATACAAATTGCTATTAAAAACAAAGTTCAAGTGCATTTATTTGAAATAAGAACTACATTTGAGAATTGAGAAAAAAATAACAATACGAAATACATTTTGTAATGAATATCAATTGGGATTTCCGCCACCGTTGGTTGTTGTTTTCCCTTTGTCACAAGACTTCATATGTTTTATTGGCATCCCGTATCCGTATGAACCCCCCAAGCAACACTCTTTCTTGCACCACCTGCAAGTTGCCCACCACAGTCCGGTCTTCGGGTCCTTCCACTTGTCAAAATTGTTTTGCATAAGAGAAGATGTACTTTCCATATTTAAAATGGTATATGTATAACACTATAAGTAATTAAGTAGGAATGTAGGATAATAAGAGAAGATAAAGATGGAGAAGAGTTTGAGAAGAATTGGAGAGAAGGTGTAGAAAAATGTTAGAAAATAGATGTATTTATAGGTGTTTTTGAACCCCACTCCCCACACCACCACCCCCGGGACCCCCCTGCCCCCCACCCATAGCCCCAACGGCTATATAGCCGTTTGGGAGCTTTGAATTTTTTTTTTTTTTTTTTAAGTTATACACATATTGTAAAATAAATTAATTAATTTAATGAATTAAGTAAAACTAAAACAAATGTTACAAAATAGGTGTATAAGTATTTAAACAAATTACATATTCTAAATGTATTTTTAATTTAAAAACCGGCTTTATATTTTAGAAAAATAATTTTAAGTCGTTAGATTGTAACCAATTAATTAATTTGAGAAGTGCTACATATGAAAAAGTGAACACATATTTATTTGAAATATGAAGTACAAGTTTACAAATTAATTTGAACTACAACTACAAATTTACAATTTTGAAATATGAAGTACAAGTTTACAATTTTGAAATATGAAGTACAAGTATAAATAAATTTGACAAGTGCTATAAAATACATTTTGTACTAAATTCTAAAATACTAATCAATCGGAATCTCCGGCATAGGTAGAGCCACCATCGGTTGTTGAGTCATCCATAAAATCTTGGGAGGGGGTGATGCTCAATTCTTGAGTTCTACGTGCGGCCTTCAACCAATCGTGGTAGCATATAAGCGTCTCAAGAGACTCCGCGCTCAATCTCGATCTAGATGCCGTTAGGACGTTGCCGGCCGAACTAAATTCTTGTTCCACCGCAACTGTTGAAACCGGCATTGATAGTACTTGCTTAGCCATCCGTGCTAAAATCGGGAACGTTCTTTCTTTTGACTTCCACCAGTCTAGAACGTCAAAGTCATCATTTTCTTCAAAATCAACTTCATATGTTAAATACAAAGTAATCTCATTCAATGCGCTTTGTTCAGTGACGTGAGTTGTTTTAGTTTTTTTTCATAAGATTGCCAAATGCAGATTTAAAAATCGATTTTCCTTTAGATGAAGATGTTCGTGACGGGGGAGGGGGAGCGTTGCTATATTGTGCACGAAACTCATTAAATAAGGCATAAAATAAAGTACTAACCTCGTTGTATTCCGTTTTCGGATCTATGGGGTTATCCTCATACATTGGAAATTCACCGAAAAACGCAAGATAATAGAAGTTGAAACAATCTTCCAAATTAGCAAGTCTATAACGAGGATCGAGAATAAATGCAATACCATAAATATGGGGAATATGCGCATAATATTTTAAAAACTTTTCCTTCATATGATCACAAAAATAATGAACGAAAACGGCATTTTGAAATTCTTTAAAAGCATCGGCGAGATTAACAGCTTGTGGAATAAATTGGTTTGCGGTAGGTTTATAAACATGACTAAAAGTTTCAGTAGCATTAAAAAAATATATCAAAACATTACAAATTTTTTCGCAAGTGTCGATCTCAGCCGCGTTTATAATATAGTTATCATGTTCTTTTAAAAAAGCAGGAAAATGTTCTTTATATCTAAGAACAACTTTAAGTAATTTATAAGTACTATTCCAACGAATACTCAAATCTTTAGGAAAAGCAACATATCTCACACCTCTTTCAGTCAAATAACTTTGCCATTTTAATCTAAGTTGACCATTACCCCAAATACGTCTAACCCCCCCCTTTATTACCTCCACGGAATCTCCTAACGTTTTTAAACCGTCTTGCACACATAAATTTATAACATGACATGCACACCGTTGATGAAAAAATCTACCCATCAAAGAATTGGCACCACACAACTCACGCAATCTAGGTATAGCAGCAATATTATTAGTAGCATTATCGAAACCAATAGCAAACACCTTATCAATCAAATTATACTCAATTAAAATACGCTCAATCAAAATATAAATATGTTCAGCGGTGTGACGATCATTAAATTCACGAAAAGCAAGAACACGTTTATGCATATTCCAATCCTCATCAATATAATGTGCAGTCAGACCCAAATAATATAAATGATGAAAATCATCCTCCCATATGTCAGAACAAATAGTAACACGCCCATCAAAGTTTGCAAAAAAAATTTGTAACCTTTCCTTTTCCGCATTATAAAGCCTTATTATTTCTTTCTTAACAGTTTTGCGACTATAATTTCTAAATTGAGGATTTAAACTACCTTGTGCATAATCTCTTAAAGCAAGACTTTCAGAAAACAAATAAGGCAAATTTTCTTCACAAATTAAGTTAGCCATACCAGTCAAATTTTGTGCATCATTGTAGGCGAAATTACCAAAAGGTTGAGAATTCGCAAACCTCGATATTTGAGTTTGCTTCCCCGTTCCGCCGCCTAATTTTGCGTACTCCACGGGGTGCTTTGACTTAAGATGCCTTGCGGCGGATCCGTATCCGCCGGAGGTTCCCAAACTATAATTGTTGTTGCACCACTTGCAAGTTGCGTGCCAATAGCCAGTTTGTGGGTCCTTCCATTTATCAAAATTATTTTGCATTAATTCAGACTTACTTTTTTTATTACCGGTGGCGGTTTGGGATGAGGCAGGCGCATCGGCGTCGTGGCTGCCGGTACCCTCCTCCTCGGCCGTCTCCGGTTCCAATTCCTCTGCATCTTCATCCTCAAGCTCCTCTTCGTCAATGGTCGTCGGCATTTGTTGTTGTTGTAGAAAGCGGTTATTATGTCGGGCCAATTCTTGTTGGAGTTGTTCTTCGGACATCGCATCTCCATCTCGCCTTTGGTAACCCGTTTCAAAATCATCTCGGCTTTGAGATGAAGACCCGGCAAGTTCTTTACCTTTGCGGGATTTCTTCCTCCCAATCTCGTTTCTTCGATTGCGTTGGAGGTTACCCAAATCAACCGAATATCTACCACCTTCCATCTAAAAAATGTAACAAATATTAATTCACAACAAATATAATAATGGATACAAAACTAATGCAACTAATTAAAACTATTTTAATTAATACTTCAAACTAATTTTTTGCAAAGTAGAATTAATGTGTGTCTCTACAATTAAAATTATAGCAACTTTTGAAGTAAATAACTAGTACAAGTAAAAATGTAACAACAATGCTAATTAAGTAGTTAACTAGTATAGTGACAAATGTAACAAACTAACAACTAGTTAAATAAAATGTGAAGTATTTTAATTAGTATAATGAAAAATGTAACAAGAATGGTATTGAAGTATTGAACTAATTAACTAGTATAATGAAAAATGTAACAAGAATGGTATTGAACTAATTAACTAGTATAATGAAAAATGTAACAAGAATGCTAATTAAGTAATTAACTAGTATAATGAAAAATGTTACAATAATGGTAATGAACTAATTAACTAGTATAATGAAAAATGTAACAAGAATGCTAATTAACTAATTAACTAGTATAATACTAGTTATAGTAAGTAATATATAATATAATGTTTATATTATATAATATATAAGTATACTATACTATACGATGAGTAATACACTTATATTTTATACTTTAATATATAAATATATATTAAGTAGATGTAGAATGTATGTATTAAGTGGATATAATAATTGTATAAGAATTAAATATTAGAGTATAATGGAGAATTGGAGATTGGAAAATAAGTATATATAAAATATAAGTAGAGAAGTAGATATTATTATGTATTAAGTATATAATAATAGTTTATAAAGTATATTTAATACTTTATTATATAAAGTATATATTAAGTAGATATAGTATGTATGTATGTATTAAGAGATATAAGTAGAAATTAAGTAGATAAGAAATATAAGCAATATAGTATATGTAGATAATAATATATATAAGTAGATAATTAATATATAAGTAGATATAATAATTGTATAAGTATTAAATAGTAAAATAAAATATAAAGGAGAATAAGAGAATTAGAGAAGATGAATATGGAGAATTGGAGAATGGAGATGAGTAGAGAGTAGGATTTAGAAGAGTTGGAGAAGAGGTGTGAAAAAATGTTTAAAATTAGGAGTATTTATAGGTTTTTTTTTTAACCCCCACCCCCCCACCCCAACCCCCCCACCCCACCCCCCACCCAAACCCCCCTGACCCCCCCTGGTACACCCAACGGCTATATAGCCGTTTGGGGTAGCCGTTTGAGCCAAAAGGAATCCAAAAAAAAAAAAATTTTTTTTTTAAAAAAGTGGACCGTTAGGCCCGGGCCCGGGCCCGACCCGGCCGGGCCGGGCCTCCAAAACCAGGACCCGAGCCCGGTCCCGCTAACCCGACCGGGTCTCTGTCCGAACCGGACCCGGACCCGCGAACCGGGCCGGTTCCGGGCCCGCACAGTGACGGGCCGGGC